TGACATAATTGACAAATTGATGCTTCTTGATCATTCAATATTAATTTGAGTGGTGATGTCAATGAGATCGACAGAGATTGATGAAGATTGTCAAAGATTGGGACTTACCAAATGTTGCCCGTTTAACATAATTCTATAAATAATTGTATTTAGATTATAATTACACTTGTCATATTAAGATTGTATTGATTCCTATATAATGCAAGAAATCTTTATGGAAAAATCATTCAGTCAAAAGTTTGTCAGTTATACCATATTTTTAGTTCTACGTGATGTTTATATTAGTTGTGTGTCAGTTTCCAAACCTTAATTTTCTCTCAGTAGGCTTTGGTGCAATCAATAATCTGTATATTAATCAATACAAGCTGTTGATAAAATGATTATTTGTCATTTCAGTAAAGATTAGGTCTGTTCTTGACAGATATAATTATCATTTGTACTATTAAACTGATAACATCCTATTTTTTTGAGCCTTACATCTCTCTGTTGTCAATGTAGATGGATACTTCTTCCAGAATTTCTAAGATAAGAAGCCGTGAGCGTGAGAGACTTCGTGGGCCCCCTTGGCTAAAGGTACATCCTTATCTTTTTTATTTAGTATCTATATCATTCTTGTCTGTACTTTTTCGATTAAACAGTTAGAGTAGTTAATCACGTTTGCAGAATGTCCAAAATTCCTATAATACCAGGCGTGACTTGTTTAAGTTTGTGTAATACCCATATACTTGGTCGTTTCTGTGTAAAATCGACCTATTAATGGGTAATGGCTCAAGGACAGTTCATAATTAGCGAGCTGTATCTTGGCCTTTTAAGTTGCTTTAAGAGACCAAATTTTAACGGATGTGTAATGTGGATGGAGGTAAGTACAGTTTGACTTGACATCATGTGACCGAGGACATCTAGTCGTCCTCCCTTGAATTTCTTTTATTCTATTCACTACTTTATCCTCCTAAAGTATAAATTAAAAAAAAAATTATAGTTGCTGTATTTTCTTTTTTAGGTTCTTAACTAAAGGAGTTACTTGTAATGTATCTCAGGCATTGCAAGGTGGATTGCTCAGATGTGCATATGCAGTTCTTGACTATGCTCAGACAGGTCTAATTGCTGCAGTTTTCTTCTTTAAAGTGAGTTACCATCAACCTAATGCAAAATTTACCCCCAAGACATTATGCTTGTAGTTGTGATTTCTATGTACATTGGGTCTGCCTTTGCTTTCTTTTTGTAACTTGTTTATGCGGCTTATTCCCTTTAGCTATTTCCACCTTAAGACCTAACTATGTGTTCTGCTTTTGCCAGCGTGCCATCGAAATGGCTAATTCTTCGTATTTTTGTTTGTTTGTTTTTTCTTTTTTTAATGATTTTTTGGATTTTCTTCACTTGGAAAGTTCTCATCTTGCTTGTGCTATTTCATAAGAGCTAAATAGAGGTAGATTACGGGGAACTGTTGTGTCAGTGGACTGTTGTAATCTCATACTACCTTCTACTTCTGTTTTCCCCATTTGGGTTCTTTAAATTTGAGCATCTGCAAATATTTTTCATGGGCTTTCAGATGATGGAGTGGTGGTACCAATCTGCGGAAGAAAGAATGTCTGCTCCGACTATCTATCCCCCACCACCTCCTCCTCCACCCCCAAAGGTGATTTATTTCACTTATGCATAAAAATTTAGGGATGTTCAATTCTTATTCTTCAACTTTCACTATTTTACTCTTTGGCCCACTTGTACTAGCTTTCATTTAAAAGAAGTTCCTTAGTTAATTTTAATGTATTCAACTTGATGAAGGAAAGTGAAATCACACTTACATTAGCCAAGTAATTTAGGAACCCCCTCCCTTAATTGCATTCAATGACATGATTTCGTTCTAAAAATTGATATAGTGGCACCATACAGTTGGAAAATTTTCATGTTCTTTTAATCCAATGTCCAGAGAATGATGCATAGGAATATGAATGCTCCTGTCCTTTTCCTTTCTATGTATGCGAATGTAGAGATGCTCGTTTTATTTATTTATTTTTCACTTGCTTTTGGGATTTACACTCGTTCTTATTTTATTGATACACGTGTTCATATTTCTGTATATGTGTGTGGCATCCAATTTTTTGGTTTTCAATCTTTGAACTATGATATGGGAAGAGTTAAAACTCGGGAGTTTGGGGAGGAAAGTTGTCACTAGTTCTGCTCAATACCAAATTGGACTTGTCTCTTCTCTTAACCCTAAAATTGAAAAGAGAAGGAAATACTTTGCATATTGCAGCACTTGTGTTTGATAACTTGTAAGTTGTAACTCACATAGATCAGAAATTCTTGCATGAATTCAATATGCACAATTTTCTCTCATTTGCTAAACCGTCCGGTAGGCACCACATAACCGGATGGAGCTCTCCCCAAAATCCAAATTAACCCAGCCACCACACCACCACCCAACCCAGCCACCACCCATACCCATCGGCGCCGGCGACCAACTGTCCGGTAGGTACCACATAACTGGCCTCACGCCACAAATCAGCCCCTCCAACCATGTCCTTTAGACACAGGGGGCGGCCATTGTTGGAAACCCTAGCGCCGCCCAGAAGATTTCGCTAGATCCGGCCACGTTTCGAGGAAATGCACCTCACCGGAGGCCTCAGCAGAGACCGGCGACCCCGGCCGGAGTTCTGTCCCCCACACGCGTCACTCCGGCCGCACGTCTGCCAGCGCGTGTCGGCCACACGCCGCCGCTGGAAAACCTGCAGTGGTAGCCTGCTGCTCCGAGATCAATCGGCTTGTCCGTTCCTCCGTTTGATGAACAGCTTGTACACAATCAGGGGAAAAAATTGGCGGATGTGTGTAGTACGGTATTCAATCATCGTTTCAGAGTGGAGGCGAAGGACTTCACAGTATCTATTAACGATTCCGACACTGTTAAGTTGACAGAATGGGGTTTGAAGTTATCAGATTCATTCTTTATGGGAAGGTATGGTGCTATTTGGATGGTGAATATGGTAGATAGATTGAGGATGAGAAGTGAATTTGAGGGCTGTGTCCTTAAATTCAACGAGTCTTCAAGAGCTTTTTTGGCACGGTGTG